AAAAAACTAGGCGACTGTGGCATTGGTGCCTACACAGTCAGATGGGTGGCAAATTGGCTCGATGGTCGCACCCAGAGCCAGTGGTGGTGGATGGGTTGTTTTTGACTTGAAGGGATTGTGGGCAGTAGAGTTCCCCAGGGCTCGGTCCTTGGGCCTGTGCTGTTCAACATCTTTATTAGCGACTTGGAGGTGGGCATGGAAAGTACGCTGTCCAGATTCGCTGGTGACACAAAGATGTGGAGAGAAGTGGGCACACTGGAGGGGAGGGACAAAATCTAACTAGATGCAGGCAGGTTACAGGGGTGGACAGATGAGAATAGGATGGAATTCAATGCAGACAAGTGCAAGGTGCTGTGTCTAGGGAGAAGGAACCTGCAACATACCTATAAGATGGGGAACACCCTTCTCAACAACACAATGGCTGAAAGGGATCTTGGAGTCATTGTTGACTCCAGGGTGGACATGAGTCGCCAATTCAAGGAAGCAGTCAGTAAGGCTAACCGCACCTTGTCGTGCATCTACAGATGTATCACAAGCAGTTCAAGGGAGGTGATCCTTTCCCTCTATGCAGTGTTGATCAGGCTGCAGTTGGAGTACTGCATCCAGTTCTAGGAGCTGCATTTCAAGAGGGATGTGACTAACCTTGAGAGGGTCCAGAGGAGGGCCACTCGCATGGTCAGGGGGCAGCAGGCCAGGCCCTGCAAAGATAGACTAAAGGGCCTGAATTTATTCAGCCTCCACAAGAGAAGACTGAGAGGGGATCTGGTGGCTGTCTATAAACTCACTAGGGGGGACCAGTGGAAAATAGGTGAGACACTGTGCCCCCGGGCACCACCTGGGACAACAAGGAATAATGGCCACAGATTGATTGAGAGCAGGTTCAGGCTTGATATCAAGAGGCATTACTTTCCAGTTAGGGCTGCCAGGCTCTGGAATGGGCTCCCAAGGGAGGTGGTGCTCTCCCCTACCATGGGGGTCTTCAAGAGGAGGTTGGATAGATATCTGGCTGGGGTGTTATGATCCCAGCACTCGTTCCTGCCAAGGGCAGGGAGTCGGACTTGGAGATCTGTTCAGGTCCCTTGTGACCCTAGAAACCATTAAACTACCTAGAAGAACTTCATTTTGATTGCAGAAAACTTCCCTAAAGCTAGGTAATGCACAGTATTGTAAGGGATGGAAGACACTTGTGTGAGGATAATGTGCAGTAATGCAGCTTTGCATACTTTATTACCCTGGAAAATCTATGCATTTGGGCCATGGAGTGATATGCGCCAACTGGGGCAGTTCATGCAGTCCTTTCATGTACAATTACTTGTACATGACGCTGCCCTGATCCTCTTAATTTCAGGTGCCCCAGAGTAACAGACAATTAAGCCCAGATTTGGTGATGGGAGACTCCCAATAGGGCTGTGCGAAGCTTCGGTTGCTGATTCGATTCAGCGGAGATTTGGCCCGATTTGAATCAGGAGGCCCTTTAATCTCTCTGAATCGAATCAGAACCCTCCAAATCAATTCAGAGAGATTTGGAAAGATTCAACAGTTCAGACATAGACACAGCTTTAAATATTTGTTCTACATACCTGTAGGATGCAGGGGCTTGTGAATGCTGCGATGCTGGGGCGAATGGAGTGTCCCACAGAAGTGCGGGGGGCTCCCCAGCGCACTCAGCAGCAGAACCAGAAGTGGACCAGAAGCACTTCCAGTCCACTTCTGGGTCCACCAGGGAGCACACAGGGGGCCCCCCCGAGTCCCCTCCGAGTTCGGCGACTGGTGCCTCCTGGGTCTGGGGGGGCGCCCAGGGTTCCCCCGTGGCTGATCACTGAGCCGGGGGGGGGCATCCAGCATGCTCAGCGATGGACCTGGAAGTGGACCGGAAGTAGTTCTGGTCCACTTCCAGGTTTGCTGCCGAGCACATGGGGGGGCCCCCTCCACCCAAACTCCTGTGGTAAGCTCCATCCGCCCCACCATTGCAGCATTCACAAGTCGCACCTCCTACCTCGAGGTACGTAGAAAAAACATTTAAAACTGTGTCTGTGGCTGAATCAGTGATTCTCTGAATCAGCATTGAATCTTCAGATTGGGATTTGGCTGAATTGAATCAGGGACAGTGATCCGAATCAACAAATTGAATCACTGTCCCTGATTCAGGCCAAATCTGAATCCAAATTGAATATGCCCTGTTTTGCACACCCCAAACTCTGAGTAGAAACCAGAGGCACCATTGTAAGCCCTTATCTGGTTCAAATACTCCCTTTTCTCTCTGTTTGTAGTTTGCTCAAAACGGGTTGTTCACAATAAAGCCAGAGTTCCTGACACTGTGTATCTTATTTTGTGTCTTGCTGCTCCCCATTCCCATGTCATGAGGAAATGTTATCTGATTAAGCCCTTTGACGTATATAACTAATGACTCCTTCCTTACCCTTATCTCATTTGCCCATTGTTTCTTTGGCTTTCTCTTTTCTTCTTTTATCTGTATTATCTAATCTAAGAAAATAATTCAAAAGATTTTCCATTAAAAAAGATGCAGCCTCAGTTCTCCTGAAAACATTCATTCCCAGCTTTTTCTTTTCAAACCATAATGTGTCATGGTCTGGTTCTGTAGTCATTCTTAGCTGGGGAACTTCTTAGCTATGATGCATTATATTGGTATTTAAGGAATTGAAAATCAATCTCATGGCCTTATGGTTTAAGTTCAACACAATAATTTCTTGGGCTCAAACGTCACTCCAGGCCTTTTGGGTTAGGTTTAAAAGCCCTGCCAAGCTTGCTGCCAGACTGGTTTGGAGTCAGCTTACTGTTATCCATAGGTCTGTTTGGTGTGGAATTTTAATTTCACAAACTAGGACAAATAGCTTTGCTAAAGAAAGGATGGTTCAACTGGTATTTTGCATGAAGTCGTAGCTGCAGGTTTTGTACAATTTAACTATGTAGTGTAAAAGTGCCTATTAGTAAATTTTCCAAAATAAAGCAAACTTTTATACCAATATAAATGTGGCCATGCAAAAGGAATTTAAACCAATTTTAACAATATCAGTTTCTACACCAGTATGGTTAAATCACTACAAAAACTGTATAGATTCACCCTTAGCCTTAGACTATGATTTAATCTACATACACACCCTAGGACTAAGAACTCCCTTTTAAACCTCCACTCAAGCTTCCTGAGCCATGCGTAGATGAAATGTGCATGTCACTTTAAAGCGGCCTAAACACTTTTGCACCGCTTTAATGGTGAAGGTGTTTGCACGCCTTGGTGGTGTAATGTGCATTAATTCCAGCTGCTGTAGCAAATTCGGAAGCGTAATGCACCTTAAATGACTTGGGGCACAGCAAACTAAAACTCTCCAAGTGGAGCAGGCAGGTGAGGAATGGCAGTGCTGGTTCCATCATGCTAATTCAGGGGCCCATTTGGCTCATGCTGGTATGGCTGTCATTAGAAGGGACTAAGTGCCCACCCTCTGGAATAAGGTCCCTGTTTTGTATTCAACATAACTGCTAGTCAGTATTGAAAATACTTGCCTGATAGTGTTTTGTCAGCAGCAGAGTCAGTCTTCTGGTAGGGAGATGAGAAGTACCAGCAGTAGCTGCTCTATGCAATTTAATAGGAGCAATGCCAAGAAGTCTCTTCATTTGAAAGCTTGATGGTCATGCTGGCAGAACTGGGTGGGCAGGATAAACATCGGATAGTTCTCTCCCTCAGAGGAAAAGCTTTTACTTCTAGTCATTCATAGTGTGTTTCCTCATTTTCTGTTTCACAGAGACGCAGAGACTTCCTCCAGTTGATGCTTGATGCCCGCAGTTCAGCTAGCTCTGTTACACTGGAACATTTTGACTTGGTCAACAAAGCCGATACTTCCATTCAGGACCCTGATCCTTGTGGTGATGAAGCTCCGCCTAAAAAGCTTCAGGTGACATTAACTGAAGATGAGATAGTAGGCCAAGCCTTCCTTTTCCTGATTGCTGGGTATGAGACCACCACCAGTGCGCTCTCCTTTGCCACCTACCTGTTAGCCACCAACCCAGAGTGCCAGGAGAAGCTGCTGCAAGAGGTGGATGAGTTCTCTGAAAAACATGTGAGTATATTTGGTGGCTCCATACTTTTATATGAAGCATGATAAACTGGTGAGCACTGAGACTAGCATGCCCTCCTTCAAAGGTGAAGCCAAGACTCTTTGTTGCCAGTATTAGCAAGGTAAGTTACATTCATGAAGTTGCGTTCACCCAAACTGAAAAGCTTACACCTTTGAAATCAAATGGAGTCAGGGGTGCAGAGATTTAGGTTCCAACAATAATATTTAATTAGACTATGATTCTACTTTCTAGTAATATATCATGAGCATAACTTTGCACTGTAGTGTCTAGAGTCTACATCCTGTTTTAAGTACAAGAAGCTACTCATTAAACAAGAAAAAATGGATCATACAGTATTAAATGTCACCATCTTGTCTAACAGAGTATGGATACTGGTCTGTTGCAAACTAGTCACTAGGTAGCATGTATTTCAAAGCTTTCTGAGGCCAGGTAGCATCTGGTCATTATTTCTAGTGTTGCACATCTCAAGGCTTAGACCTTGGAAAAAATATAGCACAGACTTAGCAAGGAAATTATTTACCCGTTATCTGTTTATTCCTAAAACCGTTTGGGTTACAGATCCTTGAAAACAGCAGCCCTGCCCCAGTCTGATCTCAGACCACCTTTGAGTCAGGCTGGGCAGAATCTGTCCTCTCCTTTTTCTCTTGGGCCACAGTTCCATCTACCATGATGGCATCTCAATTTAGCAAATTCATTTTTCCACGGATTTTGACCAGTTGCTAAGTAATGATCAAAGCTTGATTTAGATTGATCTGTGATATTCTCTCAGTCATGGTTCTTCAGTGAGGTGCTAAGCAACTTTCTTGAGCAGGGCAGCTCTCTGCAATACCATTTGGTAACCTTGTCTTGGGTGAGGTTCTTCATATAACAGAATGGAGTAGCTACTAGCTTCAGAATATCTTTATTTTTTTCCTGTTATTTTAACATTCATCCTTACTGCTTTATCAACAGAGTTTTTTTCACGCCATTAGCTCTATTTTTTTAATGGAAAATTGCCTGTGTTCTGTAATTTTGGCTGTGAGTTGAGCAACAGTGAGGTTTTGAAAGGAGTAGCAGTCCATCTTTGCTGATGTTATAGTTTGTCTATGGATGATTTTCTGCGAAGCAAGGTATGGTATCTCATTACAATATGAATTTTTGCAGCTGCAAAAGATAGCAAGTGGTTCTCAGCTGATGTCAATTGGTATGGCTTGATAAGAAATCTATGAAACAAAGCCAGTTTTCACCAGTAGAAAATTTGACTCCAGAATTTTTTTTTTCATATAAAAGCCCTACATTTGAAAAGTGCTGTAGAGATCCCTCCTTTCCCAATTTTTTTTGCCAGTCTATAAAACTGTGGAATTAAAATTTTCCCCTCTTTAACAACTTGAATTGTGCAGTTTTATATACTGGCAAAAAATTGGCTTGATGGTAAATGTTATGACAGATATTAGTTACTTTGAATTTTCATAGGCAAGAACATAGAATTCATCGTAATAATGACCTGTGAAGGTGCTGTTTGAACATAAATACTTTAAATTTTATCAGTAACATAATTTAGGTGCAGGCTTAAACATTTCAAATACTCATTCACTTTAAACCAAAGCATTTTAAATCTCCTTCATTTCATGTGCCTATCAAGTCCAAGTTTTCTTGATTGCAGCTGATTATTCTTTTTTTATGGCATCCTTTCATCTGTGAGAGACACTAGAAATTGCAGATTATAGATGGCTTGCAATATCTCATGTAAGTGAACAGTTCAACCTGAAATTTGCACTATCTATGGCAGTGCTTGCAAATGCATGTGTAACGGCTGGGTGGTTCAGGAGCTGCTTGCTTCCTGCGGACTCTTTTCTCTTCAAGCTGTTGTAGCCAATTCCTGTCATAGACTTGAGTGTCCTGGTGGAGATGATGACCCCACTTGTTCTGATCATTTGCCAAGGTTTCCTGTTAGCCAGGATCAATTCCAAATGCCTTCATATCTCGCTTGCATGCTGCATCTTTATAGCGAAGTTTGGGGCGTCCAGTTGTTCTTGTTCCCTCCAATAATTCCGCATATAGCTTGTCCTTGGGTATACGTCCATCTTCCAATCTACTCAGATGGCCCAGCTGGTGCAGTCATCTCTATCTGAGTAGGGTTGTCACACTTGGTAAATTTGCCCTTTGAAGAACCTCTGTGTTGGTAACTTTATCTTACCATTTGATGTTGAGTATGTGGCATAAACAGTGCAGGTGGAAGCTGCACCTTTTCTCTTGATGTGCAGAAGTTGTCCATGTTTCCATACCATACACGAGAGTGCTGAGTGTGTAAATTTTGCACACCAGGATTTTGGTCTTGATGGTAAGCTTTGAGTTGTTCCATGCTTTTTTACCTAGTCCGCTGAAAGTGGTGGCAGCCTTTCCACTGTGAACATTAAGTTCTTCATCCAGTGAGAGGTTTGTGGTCACTGTAGAACCTAGGTAGCTGAACTTTTGAACTAGGTCTAGCTGATTCTTGGTAAGTGTGATTGATGGTTCTTGTGGAACTCCCTGTTTTCTTTATGCTGATAGTGAAAGCAAATGCCTGACAAACTCTTGAAAGGCAATCCATGAATTCTTGTAGCAGGTTTTTGTTGTGGGCTATAAAGGCAGCATCATCAGTGACTAGAAGCTCCCTGATCAGCACCTTTCTAACTTCAGTCTTTGGCTTGAGTCCTGACAGGTTAAAGAGTTTCCAACCAGTCTTGTGTGAAGGTGCAGTCCACATGCCGTGTCTTTAAACGCGCAGGTTAGGAGTACCGAGAAGAAGATTCCAAAGACGGCAGGGGCAAGAACATATATCTCCGCTTCACTCTTCTTTTCATCTCAAAGCTGTCCAAAGTGGACCCATCAAACTGAACAGTTGCTTTCATGTTGTCATGGAAGGAACGTATAAAACTTAACAGGATTGGTGGGCATCCTATCTTTTCTAGGACTACAAAAAGGCCTGCTCTAATGACCATGAACGACGTGTGTTCCTGGAGGTGGGGTGGGGCATGGCGACTGCCCACAGGCAGCAGCGGCAGTGGTGGGGGTGAGTGAGGACCTTCCTTAGGCAGCCGTGGTAGTTGGGGGGTGGTGAGCACTGACTGGCAGTTGGCAACTGCCCCGCAGATGCTGTCGGCAGCAGCCAGTGGCAATTGGGGACTGCCCACAGATGCTGTCAGCAGCATTGGTGGCACTTCTGTCAGGGAGTGCACCGCCAATCTCAGCGGGTGAGCATGCACCCATGTGCACCCCCTACGCATCGCCAATGCTACTGACGGTGTCAAATGCTTTTGTTAGATCCATGAAGGCAATGTACAATGGTCGGTTTTGCTCTCTGCACTTTTCTTGAAGTTGATGCAGGGAAATATCATTTCTCTGGTTGATCTTCAGGCCCTGAATCCGCACTGAGAATCAAGGTAGACATGACTTGCCAGCTGTTGTAGATGGACCAAGAAGACCCTTGCAAAAGCTTTTTCTGCTATACTTAGTAGCGAGACACCTCTGTAGTTCTTGCAGTTGCCCTTATCTTTTTATACAAAGTGATGGTGTTTGCGTCACACATGTTTTGGGGTACCTGTCACCCTCTTTCAAGCATTTGAGTAGCAGCTGATGAAGATATGGTAGTTGGCTTTTTTCCACACACTTGAGAATTTCCACTGGGATGCCATTTTTTCCACTTGATAATGCCTTGCTTAGCTTTTCTACAGTGGGCTCCACATCTAACTCCAGCATGATCTGTAGAGTTGGTATTTGGTCCAGTGATTCGCTTTTGGTGATGTTTCTTTCTTGTGATATTATATTATATTATATTATATTCACAGAAACAGAGTATACCAGTCAGTCTGATGGTCCTGAATTCTCTGCTCTTTTTGTTAATTATTACAAAAGTGTGCAGCATCCTGAATCTGTTTTTGAAATTATTTATATTTGTTTTCTATCATTTTTTTTAATGGGTCATAGGGCTTATAGGAAAAAATAACACAAGAGATAGTGTTCTCATAGTATTTCAGCTGACCAATTTGCATGCTAAAATCTTTATCAGAGTCTGATTTTTTTTTTTTCCTGAAAATGTCTGATTTTTCACTGGCATGGAAACACTAGTTTTAGGGTATGCCAAAATATTCCAATTTTACTTAGCTTTATTCATGCAAAAATAATGGCCAGTATCAAACTGTCATGAAAACTTGCTTTTATCTATCCATTATATTCAAATGTACCCACAATAGCAATTCTGCCTTTAAGCAGGTAAATAATATGTTCCTAGGATTTTGAAAGACTCCTTTTGTTCTAAGGTTGTTGAAGTAAGTGAAAGCAGAGAAATATAGGCATTCAGCAGCCTGATCCATGAGGCTCTTTCTTGGCAAAATCACACATTTTATGCATGTGGTCTTGTCCAGGCTCAATACAGTAAAACTATTGATATCTCACGGCCTAATTAAAAGGCTCAGATTTATAATTTTAGGTTATTATTAGCACTATTGCGTTCCAACCAGAGCATATTAACTTGTTTCATTCATATATGTAGGGCCAAATTCTGTGTTCCCACCCAACTGGTGAATTCAGTTAACCTCAGTGTGTGTTGCAAAGGTGTGACTGACAACACTTTTGGAGCTGTAGCATATATAACTTAGCTTACATTCTTAGTGCATTAGCAACCAGAAATCCCAGTCAAAATTGTTGTCTTACTATGGTACATATTATACAGAGAAGAATAATATCCAGGGGCTATCCAAAGGCTGGGGAAAAGGACGTAGTAAAATATATACACTCGTGTGCATGTGTTTGTGTAAGTGTTATCATTAATTGCTTGGTTAGTTGTAGGCATTGTGTTATTCACTGGTGTCTGTTTCTTCTCTGAGCTATTATTGTTATTAGGTTCAAGGCAAGTTCTTAAGTTTTTATTTCCGTAACAAATTAGTTTTCTTTATTGTTCCATCTTCTGGGGTATTTAGGGAAAGTTGTGTAGCTGGAACATTAATGGTGGAGCATGATGTTA